AATAAACTCTTTGGCATTCCTGGCTGCAATAATGTCCACATCTTCCAGTGTGCGGTTCCTAAAGGTTCAGAGCCGTTCTGGGACATTTGGCACCACCAACGTTAGAGATTATCAGGGCGCTGTGCAGACTATGTCTTGTCTGGTCTTTTTCTATGCAGTAATATACCTGACTTTTATTCTCATGGGGCTTCAAATATTCCCTAATATGAGTTGGGGGTACTGGTCGTGCCTGATAATCCTCTTCTCCTTTTCTTTAGTCCAGTCTGGTCTCCTGATCAGTGGCAATTTTTTTTAAAACACTGGAAGAATGGAAAGTTGAACTTAAAGTGAACTCATACTTTTTTAAGGGCAAAGTAACAGTTTATATTGATAGTGAGCCCTCTTAGTTGCTGATACTTACCTTACCCTGCTCAGTTGCTGATACTTACCTTACCCATGCTCCTCCATTGCATTGCTTACCCACCAGCTCCCTAGAAATAGCTTTGTATAAGCTCTAAGTGGGTCTTAGCTGGGGCTTGTCGAGGCTTGAAGACCCTTCCACCACTCCCATATGACAGTACATAGGCGTAGGGATTGGTTTTTTGTAGGACCCAGTCCTGCATTTTGGAAAGAATGGGTGAGACTCACCTGTTTCCTCATACCTAGAAAGAATAGGAATTTTATGGGGGAGAAAATGAAGGTGGGGAACATGGGTATGATAAGTATCAGCAGCATGTGGTGCTATCAAAGGAACCTTTTACTTTGACTTGAACAGGCAGCTTGAGCAAAACTTTGAAAATATTAGTGATAGCCAATAGTTATAGATATGTTACTGGATAGAGAAAAAAAAAAGGGTTATGCAAAGGGAAAGCCAAATAGAAACATTTTAGAGCGGCTGTAGACATTAGAGGAGAACTATGGGGTAGGGCTTTTCCCCATAGTTCTCCTAAGGGTAACGGGAGGACACAAACTAGCGTCCTCCCGTCACCCTAAGCTCAGTATATAGGGAGCTACAGCTTGCGGTATACGGAGACGCCGCAGCTGAAACGGATCCCAACAATTATGTCGAGATCCACTCAGCTGCGTGAGTGACAGCTGGCTCTGCCCATCCAGAGGCAGAGCCAGCTGTACCCGCCCCCTCCCCCATCCGTTCCACCAGTCAGCGCTGGAGGATCAGACAGGGGAGGGGGAATCCAGTCCCTCCCCTGTCACGGCTCTCTGCATTGACAGGATCGAGAAGTGAGCGAGTGGCGGTATGTGTTCGCTCACTTCCCGATCTACTGAGCCGACCTGTGGCAGTTTCATTGTCATTTTCTTTTCTCCGAGTTGTATAAATAAATGGGTTAAGGTTTTCTTTGTTGAGCGGATAAGAACTAGAAATGCAAAGTAATACTGTACCTTGGGTTCACGAACGCCTCTGAATTGTTCGCGAACAGGAAGTTCAGCAAACTCTGCATCGGGTAAGGAACACGACCGCGGCCATCTTTCCCGCTCTGACAAGTGGTCGTGGCTTCCATTGAGATCGCGGACAGACCTGTGCACACTTGCCGTGAAGCTTTTTAGCACGTACAGTACTGCACGGTATTATTCAATCCAGCATGGCTCCAAAGAAAGTGCAGAGCAAGCATGGTGGTAAAAAGAAAGTGCAGAGCGAATGTACGAATGTACATATGGTTCAGAACGGATTAACCTCATTTACATTGAACCCTATGGGGAAATGTTATTCTGTTCCCGACCAAAATCGGTCCGCGACCACGTTCGTAGGGGTCAGAACGGATTAACCTCATTTACATTGTACCTTACGGTGAAATTTGATTCAGTTCACAACCAGAATCGTGGAACGAATTAAGTTCATGAAGCGAGGTACCACTGTATTTATTGAGGTCAAAGGAGCGACTGCTGCGGCACAGGGTGCCAACCATGCCATGGAAGTCTGAACTGGTGCAAGCAGGTTCCCCGGTGACCTCCACCCCTCAACTCCTTTTTCTTGGTTAACTGGGCCATCTCCTATCTGTCATAAAATAGTAGTAGTGTTCTTCTGTTCATTTCCTACATTCTTACTCTCTTATTATTGTCATGTTCTACCGATGATAATTCGTTGTACTGTTATACTTTCTGTTATAAATAAACATATTTTTTTTAAAAAGGAAAAAAAAATATTTTTGAACTTATGGGACAACAATGTATCTTATTTGTGTATCACTCGGCTGTAGATCCTCCAATCATCTCTGACACTGTCCTTCCTCCTGGAGGGGTGACTACGTCTGTTCGCCATGGTTCCTGTGTCTGTTGTAAAGTAGTCAACGCTCCAAGAGTCCCCGGGAACATAAAATACAACTTTATGGAATGTTCTGCCCCAGGCGCCAATAACTCTGGTTACGCCACTGGGTATATGTGTGCATTACATACAGCAATTAGGCTTATGTTCTATTTTAACATACCCTTATAAGCCAATCCCGCTGCCAGCACAGTGTGGGAACAATCCCCATTCACCATGACATGCTATGATTTATTGCTCTCCTCAAGGTGACCCCAGTCTTTTTCAATCCTAGTCATGCACCTGGTTGACAGTGGACGATCTTCACACCATGAACATAGCCCAGGGGTCATCAAGAACCGAGAAGTCAGCTGAAGTGAGACATTCTGAGCAACAAGAGGTTTATGAAAATAAGTGCTTGAGAAACAACAAGGGTTCCAAGTTATTATTCAGCACTTGTGAGAGGAGATTTGAGACAACTGAAGAGGAAAGAGTCATCAGAGCCTACATGTCTCATTGTTATCCAGACTACAGGCAGCCATGATACTAAACATGCAGAGAAAATGCATAGGATGGTGATCACCAGCCCCCAATGAGACATAGGACTGTGTTGGGCTCTTGTTCTCTTAGGGTTCCTCTGGTTAGTATGTGTTCTGTTGCCGGCCTGTCAAATAAGTTTTATATTCCATATCACCAAATTCACCAAATTATTGTTTGATTAATAATCTTGCATTGAACGGGGGGGGGGGGGTATGTAACCCCTGTCAATATAAATAAAG